AGACCAGACGCGCCGCCGCGTTCTGGATCATTTGTAAAGGTTTTACTGTACAGGCTGGGAGACCAGTCAGGAGTGCGTTGCAATAGTCTAGGCGGGAGATGACCATAGACTGCACCAGGAGCTGGGTAGCATGTTGTGTTAGGTACGGCCGGATCTTTCTTATGTTTAGTAATGCGAAGCGACAGGATCGAGAAACAGAGGCAACGTGATCTTTAAAGGTCAGCTGGTCATCAATCATGACACCCAAGTTTCTTGCTGCCTTTGATGGAGTCAGAGAGAGGGATTCAGTTTGGATGTGAATATTGTGGTGAATAGTTGGTTTGGCTGGAAAGACAAGCAGTTCAGTTTTTGAGAGATTCAGCTGGAGGTGGTGGGCTTTCATCCATTTTGATATGTCAGAGAGACAGTCTGAGATGCGTGCTGAGACCGAGTGGTCATCAGGTGGGAATGACAGATAGAGCTGTGTATCATCAGCATAGCAGTGGTAGGAGAAACCATGTGATTGAATGATCTGGGCCAAGGAAGTGGTATATATAGCAAAGAGAAGAGGTCCAAGTACTGAACCTTGAGGAACCCCTGTGGCGAAGTGGTGCACTGCAGAAGTGTGACCAAGCCAGGATACTTTAAATGATCGACCAGTGAGGTACAATTCAAACCAGGAGTGTGCTCTCCCTGTGATGCATATACTCGAGAGTATAGACAGAAGGATGTCATGATTGACTGTGTCAAATGCGGCTGATAAGTCAAGAAGGATAAGTACTGAGGACTTGGCATTTGCTCTTGCCTCTTTTAGGGCTTCTGTCACAGACAACAGAGCCGTTTCAGTGGAGTGGCCACTTTTAAACCCAGATTGATTTGTAATACACTTAACTTCAATTAATACAGGATTGTCATTGCATTTCATAACATGAAATGTTCTTAACTCTGGAAAAGTCCAAATTTGAAAGATGGAATGTGGATCTAGACTCACTGGTGTCAACCTTACACAATCTCATAGCAAAGAGTACTAAAGGGATCATTTTTGGCCCTCTTGTGTGACCTACCTGCTGCTGGCACCAGCACTGTCTGTTTAGCATGGACAAATTCTGATGGATTGGCCAAACAAACAGCCATTAAGCGTGGAGACAAAACAATAGTGAATCCTTGTCAATTCAAACAACTTATCTTGTTGTTGGAGACAACATTAGAACTTACATTGAACTTTTTTTTTGTATCCTGTGACAGAACTGAATGCAGACATTGGTGGAAAACTTCTGTTTGACTTGGCTGGTAAGAAACAGGATGTGCTCGGTAGCCTGATGGTACACATTGCACACTGTGACTGATATACATTACACGGACAATAAAACTGAACAGCAAGGAAAATACAAAATGCAATGTATTTTCTGCTTCATTTGACTAGTTGGTATTAACAGTATACTAGAATGCATAGCATAACCTGAAAAACAAAGAGGACAATGAAAGAAAGTTAAAACCTTCTTTAAACTCCACTTTTATGGGTTTTTAAGTGCAGTATGAGACCCCTGGTCCAAGTATAGTTTGAATTTTCTGTGGAGGTGTTTCGCCTCTCATACTTACAAGACCAGTTATATTTGTCACAAGCGATTTTTTTTATTTAATTTACCAAAATATGCATGATAAGTGTATTATGAGAGAACAGATGGCAATACTAAATTAGTCATAGTAATGTAGGTTTTTAAGTGAACAACTAATTTCTTATAGAAAGGTCAAAATTATTTTGTGTGAGCTATAGAAGAGGTTGATTTCAAATGCTGAAAATATTTTTTAAAAGATTTTTACACTAAGTGGTATGTTAATGATTGCTGCAACCCCTAACTTGTCATTAAGATGTCTGCAAATAGATTAAACTTAGGCCAATTACATATATTTAATAAGTCACCTGTAAAAATAAAAAAGCTTTGTACACTGATATATCTAGAAGATAAAAATGTTACTGTTCAGATTCATAAAACCCAAAGAAAGTTTAAAATTTCGTGGATCTAGAGGAAAGACGGACTTGGAAGCTTTCAGATGTTATAAAGTTCTCTCCCTGCAGATGCATTTTGTCACATTATTCTGTGAAGCACAAAGGCAGAATAGAAAATGCATACATGATAAACGTTGGCAAAGATTTTGAGGGTCCAATGAAGATACAGATCACTGCAATGACGGAGTGAAAATAGTGCTCAGATATATCTTTTCACAGTGTGAGGACATTTCCCGATGAATTACAGTGACCTGTTGATGGATATTATAAACCACTTCCAGCTGTCATGAGGTCCCAGCCTTACAGCATATCCGTAAATAACCTATTGGTCAGAGTAATGTCTTACCATCTCTTCAACATTCACTTTTCCTCACAATGATGTATTCATTATGTTTCTTTTGTTGACATTATCAATCAGAATTTAATTTCTGTCACACTTCGTTTTGATTACAGCTCTTTTTCTTCCTCCCCTGTCCCCCAGGGTCCTGTTCAGGTTGTAGAACCTGCTAATTAAGAGGTGGCACCCATCTACACAGTTTCGGTGTCACACCGTAGCCTGGTCAGAGATTAAATCATTTTTGTAACACCTGCTCCATATTCAGGGCCTCAAGTCAAATTCATGAAATTACAAGTGCTGTTGCTTTTCACTGAATTAGATATGTCCAGTCTGTATTGAAGAAAGTTGATAGAATTCACTCACATGCTTTCCTGCTTAAGACCCTTTATGAAGAATAACGGAAATGGACTTAGTGTACCCTCGCCCGGGCGCGGGTCACCGGGGCCCCCCCCTGGAGCCAGGCCCAGGGGCGGGGCACCATGGCGAGCGCCTGGTGGCCGGGCCTTCACCCATGGGGCCCGGCCAGGCCCAGCCCGAAGAGGTTACATGGGTCCCCCTTCGCACGGGCCCACCACCCGTGGGAGGGGCCATAGGGGTCGGGTGCGCTGTGCCCTGGGCGGCGGCCGGAGTCGGGGACCTTGGCGGACTGATCACCGGCTGCAGAAGCTCGCTCTAGGGACGTGGAATGTCACCTCTCTGGCGGGGAAGGAGCCTGAGTTAGTGTGCGAGGCGGAGAGATTCCGGCTGGACATCGTCGGTCTCGCCTCGACACACAGCTCTGGCTCTGGAACCAGCCTTCTCGAGAGGGGTTGGACGTTCTGCTACTCTGGAGTTGCCCCCGGTGAGAGGCGCCGAGCAGGAGTGGGCATACTTATTGCCCCCCATCTCGGTGCCTGTACGTTGGGGTTTACCCCAGTGAGCGAGAGGGTAGCATCCCTTCGCCTTCGGGTGGGGGGACGGGTCCTGACTGTCGTTTGTGCCTATGCGCCTAGCGGCAGTACAGAGTACCCACCCTTTTTGGAGTCCTTAGAGGGGGTACTGGAGGGTGCCCCCCCTGGGGATTCCCTCGTTTTGCTGGGGGACTTCAACGCTCACGTGGGCAACGACAGTGAGACCTGGAGGGGCGTGGTTGGGAGGAATAGCCCCCCCAGCTTGAACCCGAGTGGTGTTCTGTTTTTGGACTTCTGTGCTCAGCACGGATTGTCCATAACGAACACCATGTTCAAACATAACAGTGTCCATATGTGCACCTGGCACCAGGACACTCTAGGCCGCAGTTCAATGATCGACTTCGTTGTCGTTTCAGCTGATCTGCGGCCGCATGTTTTGGACACTCGGGTCAAGAGGGGGGCGGAGCTTTCCACCGACCACTACCTGGTGGTGAGTTGGCTCCGATGGTGGGGGAGGATGCCGGTGAGACCCGGGAGTCCCAAAAGTGTTGTGAGGGTCTGCTGGGAGCGCCTGGCAAACAGAGTTCCCTCTGTTTGTTGGTACTTGAAACACAAAATTATGTTTTTATTCCAGCTATGGCCTTAAGATCTAAAAGAGCTCTATACATTTAAGCCAGTCGTACTCACCCAATCAGATCAAATTATGCACACCCCCACTCCTTCACAAACACCAAACACATACACAGATCAACATGCTATTTACTGAAAGCTTTTAGTAGTTATCCAAGTGGTTTGCTTTTAGAAACTGGGGTCACTTGAAGTGCAGTTCTGGTCAAGGTATGGGAGTGTTTGCAAAATTTTTTTTATCATTGCCATTGCCAGTGACATACACTAATTGCACCAAGTTGTGTGATACACAGTTTGGTCAAATATCAAAAGGGCAAATCTTCTTATTGTGTTTGGGGTAAGCAAACAAGGCCTGAAGACATCTTGCAAAGAGAACAACTTTCAGAAATGCATAGTTGTCTGTAGAAGGAAAGAACAAAGACAAATTTAACCATTTATTAGCTGCATATTTATGTATTGATTGATGTGTTAGGTTTTTATTCAAGTCACTGTGCGCTACTGATTTTACAGCTAATTATATGAAGTCAGGTTAGAAGTGCTAGCTATCATTGGTTTGTTGGTTTTTCCACTAAGAATTCATACTTCTGCCGGTGTGAGGTGCTCTTCTCTCCACACATCGCACAACACCCTAATCTAGCATTTCTGCAAGACTTATCAAAAGTCTTCAAACGTGCATTAGCACAAGCATTATCTGGCATTGTCTTTCTTATATTTGACTGGATGAGCTGTAGTAATGAGTTAAGGATAGAGTTATGGTGAAGGCATTAAAATGCTGCAGCTATTAATGGAGGCTGACTCATCTTTAATGCTCTCATAATTCTATCCCACACACACGTAAAGCAGTGAGGTTTTGAGATGCCATTAGCCTTTAATTGCAAATGTAGTCACCCTACACTGCCTGGTTGAGAGACGCACTGAAAACCAGAGTACCACCTCAGAGATATCCATCGATACAATTTATATTCACAATCCTTTATCCAATCAAAAGGGACCCTAGAGTCTATACCAGTTGTAATTAAGCAAGAAGCAGGATGCACCTTTGACAGATCATGAGAAGTCAAGGTTACCAACACATTATAGGGCCACACCTACAAAAATAAGACAAACAGCCAAGCTTGCGCACACTTTCTCCCAGGACACCAATTAACTCCAAGAACACTTGCTGTTCCATAACGATACTAAACATCTCGCCACTATGGTACCCAGCAGAGATGTTATTGGGCTCAGTTGTTGTTTTACATTCATATGCTCAATTTTATGGCATATTTCATGCCAAGAAAATAATTTTCAGGCAAATGTAGTGGAATCTTTAAAAAATGAGGAATACAACTTTTGTGACAGGCTAACACTGCTTAAACAGATGCAGACTGTGGTGTGTAAAGTACTGGGGATTAGAGGGTCAGTAGTGCTTCAAAGCTGTGACTAAACTGTAAGTGAAAAAGACAAGGCATTATGCTCAAATAGGTTAATGAGGTTATGCATTTGTTATGTATTTTTTTATCCCTACTGTTATCTCAAGTGGCAGAAACTTTGTTTTAGGTTCCTTTTAAATTTTACTTTTTGGTTGCCATTTTAATATTGAAGCTTACTATCTGGATTCTACCGGCACTTTGTGTTGAGTTGTGGGCCCTCTGCAGCTTATAGCATAAAGGGAAAAGACTAATTCAAATGAGACGGTCTTGTTCCTCCTGAGTACCACTATGTAAAAAGGGATTTTTCTTTAAATATAATTCTATCTTCTTGTCAGATTAGTAGAGGTTCTCTGCAGATTTAATCAATGCCCCTGGCAGAAAGAGCAAAAGTCCTGTCTAGGGCACTGTGGTGAGGAATCACGCTTTGGAATGTGAAAATCAGATCTAAAGTGAAACTCAAGAAGACAGTGTAATAAGATGGATTTAATTAGATTCAATTTAAATCTCAATCACAACTATTTAATTACTATAACAAGCTCTGTGTGTACCCAAATTAAAGTGTATGATGTTTTGTCAGCTCTGTTTGGTATCTTGCTTCAACTTTGTCAGGTGGATTTTACTGGTATCCAGTACTTAAACAGTCACAAACAGTGATTGCTTGATTTTGCCCGACAGTTAGCATCCACTTTTACTGAATTGCCAGTAAATTGTTGTATTTTACACCTCCTCTGACCTTGCTTTGCTTGTTTTATTTATTTATTTACCTGCTGAAAAGTACCAGCTGTTATTCCTCACTCTGATTCTCTTTGAACAATGGTTTACCATTGTGCCTTCCACAATGAAAGTTCCAATATCTGACTTTGAAACCAAGATCATGAGCCATGTAGGAATTAGTCTTTATCTGGCCAAATATTTTGTTTGCAACAACGAATGTTCTACAGGGAAAAAAGGTAGTGGGGGAGGTTAATAGATTCAGAACTTTTCAAAAAACTTTATGCTGGGTATATCTTGCCAACAGGTTGTAAACGCATGCTTTATGGAGTATTGCATTTCTTTGTGTTTTAATCCCAAAGTTAAACTGACCTCAGAATGTTTTTTGAGAGATTTAATTCTGATTACTTTTCTCTTTACTGTCCTCACAGTGAATAAACACAAACCGTGGATTGAGACTTCCTACCATGGGGTGATCACCGAAAATACTGACATTGTTCTTCTGGATCCTCCATTGGTTGCCCTGGATAAAGATGCCCCGATTCCCTATGCAGGTACGGTACATTTAAATCTTAAAATTTTATTTTTTAAATACTTCAATGCTGTGCTTTGTCTTTTTTAGTAAGCATCACAAGTAACTATTACTCCTGGAACTATTTAAAATAGAGTAGCTCAAATATGCCTCATGGTGACTGAGCATCAAACAGAAAAATCTAGTCAAACTGGGTTAGTTTCTTCCCACTTTATGACCATTCCAATCTATCTGAAGGGTGCCGGTTTTTGTGGGAGGATATTAGCTGGAGGCTTTTGGTGATCCTAGCCATTCCCTCTCCCGCTGCACAACTAATGTGGCCAGGGTCCCAGCAGGGGGCTGTTGTGTGGGGCTGAAGCCCACTTACAGGGATCCTTCAAGCTGAGCTGGATGGATGACTGCATTAGATGGAAGTGTGTGAATGCAACTGTGTACATGGGTTGGACAATGAAACTGAAACATTTTCTCATTTTAGTGTGGGAGGTTTCATGGCTAAATTGGACCAGCCTGGTGGCTGTGAAGGTCCAATTAGCATGGTAAGATCACAGTTTTGCTCAAAATATTGCAATGCACACAGCATTATGGGTGACATACCAGGGGTTCATCCATCCATCCATCCAGGACAAACAACCACTCACACTCACATTCACTCCCAAGGGCAATCTCCCCAATTTCCAATCAGCCTAACATGCAGTTTTTTGGACTGTGGGAGGAAGCCAGAGAACCCGGAGAGAACCCACGCAGACACAGGGAGAACATGCAAACTCCACCCAGAAAGGTCCTGGTTCCCCCGGGATTCGAACCCAGAACCTTCTTGCTGGGAGGCGACAGTGCTAACCACCACACCACCATGCCACCCTATACCAGAGTTCAAAAGAGGACTAATTGTGAGAATGCCTACAGAATGCCTTTCTCTTCCGTACGTTTTTGTGCGTCTAACTCCTCCTACACCTTTCAGCCGATTTCAACAAATAAAGTATCAAAATGTTCAGCTCCTTCAGCACATAGCTGCTATTACTTTTGGTGTTCATATCTTTTCAACTTTTTAAGTTATTTAACTTTTTCTTTTTTGTTTTCTCTCATTGAAATGAATGGAGAAATCTTCAACTCCGTCTAAAACTTTGACCTACTTCAGCCCTAACTACTTCAGCCTACTTTCAGCTAGAAAATAAATTCAACTTTTATATGGCTCTCAAGCCATTCAGCTATCCATCTATTACTTTCCTCTTAAAAATATTCAGCCGTTTTCTAAATATGGCAGTTTTAAAATCATAGAAATTTCAGCTTTTCCTCAGTTTTTCTATGACTTCCTATGGAGCCAGGTTAGAGTAGAAGATCAAAGAAGTCATGTGACACACTAGCGTTTCAGCCACTCTTCTTCAAACTCCTTCAGATTACTTCCACACTCTTCAGCCTTCATACACCAATTATACCTTAAAACGTAGGAAAATTTGTCCTCTTTCACCCAATGTAACTTTCAAAGCCTTCAACCTTTCAGATTTTGAGCTATGAGCCTCAGTCAGAGCTCTACCACCAAGATTACATTGAAAATCCATTCAAAAGTCTCACTTTCAACTTGTTCAGCTCTGAAAAGTCTCCTTTTTTGAAATCGCTCCCGTTGGGCCATTTCTGGCTCAATTTAAAAAAGAAAAACACCGTCACGATCCCCAATCTGTGTCCTCAGAATTAATGTGGCTCTTATAGTTTTGGCTCAGGAAGTCAGAATGTGAGGGGAACTTTTGGCTGTTGAGCAAGCATTTGGCAGAGAGCCTGCGTGTGTATCTGACGCAGGTGTGCCGTTTCTATGACGACTAACGACTAATCTGCTCTGAGCTCTCCACTTTAAGCTCTCTGCTGCTCTCTTCTGGGACTCAGGTTAAACTTCATTGTGATAATTTCCAAATTGTCTTCTGCCTCTTTTGGTCTTTTTCACTCTTCTGGAAATGGTTCTTCTGATTTTTTTTAAATTTGACATTTGTCAATAGAACTCTTTGGTCTTCAAAATGCTCTTGAGCTGTCTCCTCAAATTCAGAAGTTCCTGACCTTTGACCTTCACACTGTCCTTTGTTTAGCCTGTTGTGAAACTGATGTGAAACTTCATCTAACTTCTTGTACCTTCTTGATAATTTTATGGCTTTTTTTACTCAATCCTCTTCTTCTAATCCTTTTAATTGATTTCTTCCACTCATTAGTTATCAGCTCTTCAAAATTATTCCTAACTTCAGCCTTTAACCAATTAGACTCTATAAGTTTTTCAGCTTTTCTTTGGCTTCATCTGCTTCCTCAGTGCTGTCTTGTGCTGTCTTAAGCCATTTTCTTTTAAACTCTTTTGCTCTCTTCATTCAGCTGTTGGCATTTTCACAGCTGTTTCGCAGGAACAGCTATTTCTCTAGTTGTTGGTGCACGTCTTGCTGGCGCATCTGTGACCAAGACAACAAGTCTTTGTGATGTATCAAGAGCCATGGTATCCAGGGTAATGTCAGCATACCACCAAGAAGGACGAACCACATCCAACAGGATTAACGGTGGACGCAAGAGGAAGCTGTCTGAAAGGGATGTTCGGGTGCTAACCCGGATTGTATTCAAAAAACATAAAACCACGGCTGCCCAAATCACGGCAGAATTAAATGTGCACCTCAACTCTCCTGTTTCCACCAAAACTGTCCGTCGGGAGCTCCACGGGGTCAATATACACGGCCGGGCTGCTATAGCCAAACCTTTGGTCACTCGTGTCAGTGCCAAACTTCGGTTTCAATGGTGCAAGGAGCGCAAATCTTGGGATGTGGACAATGTGAAACATGTATCGTTCTCTGATGAGTCCGCCTTTACTGTTTTCCCCACATCCGGGAGAGTTAGGGTGTGGAGATGCCCCAAAGAAGCGTACCACCCAGACTGTTGCATGCCCAGAGTGAAGCATGGGGGTGGATCAGTGATGGTTTGGGCTGCCATATCATGGCATTCCCTTGGCCCCATACTTCTAGATGGGCGCGTCACTGCCAAGGACTACCGAACCATTCTGGAGGACCATGTGCATCCAATGGTTCAAACATTGTATCCTGAAGGACGTACACTGTATCAGGATGACAATGCACCAATACACACAGCAAGACTGGTGAAAGATTGGTTTGATGAACATGAAAGTGAAGTTAAACATCTCCCATGGCCTGCACAGTCACCAGATCTCAATATTATTGAGCCACTTTGGGGTGTTTTGGAGGAGCGAGTCAGGAAACATTTTCCTCCACCAGCATCACGTCGTGACCTGGCCACTATCCTGCAAGAAGAGTGGCTTAAAATCCCTCTGACCACTGTGCAGGACTTGTATATGTCATTCCCAAGACGAATTAACGCTGTATTTGCTGCAAAAGGAGGCCCTACACCATACTAATGAAGTATTGTGGTCCAAAACCAGGTGTTTCAGTTTCATTGTCCAATCCCTGTAAGTATGTTTGCAAAAATATTTTTCAATTGTTGTCCAGTCGTGTTGGTGTGTGTGTGTGTGTGTGTGTGTGTGTGTGCGTGCGTGTGTGTGCACTTTGGAATGGCCTAAGGGGATCACTGTAATGGTCACCCCACTGGGAGAAAGGGAGAAAATGATGAGACAGCGGGGAGGACAGCTAGCTGACCAGCATATGCCCTTTGGCTGTTCATAGACGCTTGGCAACATAGTTAAAATACATACACAAATACACACAATAGTTAGATTTTCATAAAATCCAGAGGTTAGAGCACAGGGACAGATTACTATAGAAATTATTAATAAACTACTTTTTTTCTTGGTATTTCTATCAGGTCTATTTTTTTACAGTCATGACTGCTTTCCACACTTGCACCGTGTGCAAACTCATACATCCACACTCACTTTTTTCTCTCCCCTTATTATGCTCTCTAACCAGGCTGAAACAGATATTCAATAATTATCTGAAGTGTGTTCTTCCTTCCCTCAAATTACTGAGCACTAGAGGGAGGGAGGTGCACAGGTAAGCCTCATTAATCAGGCCAGCCAAGTTTTAATTACAGCACATCTACTGTATGACACTGAAGTGTTGAGCCTAGATAGTCACAGAGCTGAATCCACAAGACTAATGACCATTGTGCTTTACATAAAACCTGTTATATATAAACACTGTGGACTGTAATGAACGTGATAAGGACCCGAAAGCAACCAGAGACGTATGGTCAGTTTAACAGAGTTTATTAACAGACTGGGGCTCGGCAGAGGCGTGGTCAGAACAGTCCAGGTTCGGTAATGGGTGGTCCAGGCAGCGAAGATAATCCAACTCGTCGTGAGGGGCCGGTCGAGGGTCAGAGCCATAAGCAATAAGCAACCAGAGAACTGACCATTGGAGACATATTCCTCACCTCACCTAGACCCACCTGACACAGACAATGATTGTAAAACAGGATGTGAACACGGTGCACTGTTATTCTGGGAAGGCTTGCAAAACAGCTTCAACCTTTGGATATCAGTGTGAGCAGAGTGTTTAAGTTGACGCTAAGAGCTGCGTGGGAGCAATGGGTAAGCGACGGCGAACACAGTTTCACCTAAACTGGGCGGCCGTCACAATATTATGACCTGAACTTTTCGTGTTAAGTTAATATGCCTGTATGTCCATGGGACCTATAGTCCAGTGCGACTTATGTCATAGTGGGTGATAGCCGGGTTACCCACATGCAAGAACACTCCAAGATAAGCGATATGAAACAACAATAATGTTTATTTTGGGGAAAGGAAGAGGGGTCAGGGGAAATAGTTCTGGAACCTGGGACTGGAGGAAGCTGGTCGTCAGATTGAATGCGGAGGTTAGTGTTGTCGGTGGTGGCGGCTGGAGAAGTGGGTTACCGTCGGAGAGCGAGCAGGTAAGACTTGCAGCTGGAGAGCGGAGTGAGCTGACTTCCGGGCGGGGTTTCGACCGTTAGCTCCCGGAACATGAAACGCCGGCAGGCTCAGCCTGTGGCGAGGCACAGAGGATCCACAGGGAGGGAACAGGGGGGTAAGTCCACGGAGGAAGGCGACTGATT